GAACACTCCCTGTCCTCAAAGACTCAGATGTTAAAATTTAGTACGATAGCCTATTCTTGCCATTGCTTTCAAACCCAATCCATACACAGCACTGAATTCCTTAAGTACGGTTGGTGGCTCTGAAGAGAAATAATCCTCTAAAAGTTTGGCCATAAGAGMGATGTAAATAAACTTCCTCTGTACATAGGGCCAGGAAAGTGGATAATAGGATATATTTCGTTATGTAATCCGTGAGTTTATTCCCTTGTTCAAGTTCCGCACGGATTCTGCCGCGGTGCGCAGCACAGGGAGGGCTGGAGGCAGCTCCGTTCCGAAGGYCGGTGGTGGCCTCTAGTGACAACCAGGTAGATCCGCACGGATCCTGTCCCTGCTCCTGCCGCTGCTCCGGGGCTCCTGCGGCTGGGGAACGATTTCTTACTGGAAATTTCTGCTGCAGTATTTGTGTGAGATACACAGTGCCAGACTTTCTCCAGGGGAGTATGGAGACAGATTTTTGGCCTGTTTCCTTAATTTTTCTCWTGCAGTACCTGTTTCCTGACACAGATCTTGACGCTGGGATGGTATTTTGGGTTCCAAGCAGCCCACAGCTTGTTCCTGGTTGTACAAACCCCTGGAGTGGGGATGCCRTGGGATTGCTGGGATGCACTGAAAGGATGATATTCCAGAGAGGTCCCCAAACAAGAACCAGCAGCTGTGCCTCTGCACAGGCACCTCCTGGCATTATGAGTGCAATTATACCCTGAGGAAAAATTGAGTTTCTCTTCATATTTGGGGGCTCCGAGTGTGACACAAGTGAGATCCCTGAAACCACAAGAATTTTTTCTTTTTAAGTTAGCAAAAAATCTATACAGATGTGAACGTATGCAATACAGTGTGTTCATATGTATCTTTTATGGCATACAATCAGTGTGTGCATATATTTGCACAGGATCATGAAAATTCTATTTAACTCCTGAATCATAGAAATATGCAATACTTTTCATGGACACTGAACTACTCCAGCATTGTGGAACTGAGAGAGCCARTAAGCTGCAATTCTCTCCAGTTCACTGGTTTTCTCATTCCCCTGACACTTCAGCTGCACAGGGTTTTTTAAGGGAGAGAGATCTGCCAGCAGTCCAATGTTAGAGCTAATCTTAATGGCACTTTTGGGGGAGAAAAAAGAGAAGGTTCGTTTGTGTGGCCTGGAGCTGTTTTTGTTGGCACTGAGATCTGATTCTGTTCAAGGAGAACAGCTGAGACAGGAAAGGCAGCTCCTGACTTTCATTTTCCACCTGTGGCTGGGGAGGGATTGGAACCCACATACTGCYTCGTGCACAACTCCAGGAGCTGGAACACCTCTCTAAGTACCATAAATATGTAAAGTAATGTTTTAACTTACCCCTCTGGTTAAAGCTCCAAGCAGAAAGAAATAAGGTGCAGTGTTTGATGATASAGATATTTTCATTGGACAAAAGATAAAAAGGAGAGGGAAATGAGGGGAAGAAAATATGTGAGGCAGACAGTGTAAGATCTTGAGCTGCRAATGTTCAGGGCTTAGGTGAATCCAGTTGAGTTGGTGAGATCACCCAGAACTTTCTCTCCTCTGATCCCATTCAGCAGGGTACAAAACACATTGCTTTGCTCTTTGGAGATGGCAGGCTTCACAGACATTGGCATTAACAGGAGGTGCAAATGTGATTAAGAAGAGAAGGAGGGGAAATTCTCAGACCCAGAAATACTGAATACTGGAATACAGCTGGAACATTGTACACGGAATGCATCCCTCTTGAATGCACTTTGCACAACTATCCTTTCATGACTGTAGTGTAGATCTTTTAGATCAAACTCTTATGACGCTAAACCCAGTTACAGGGACTAACAAAAGGGTGGCAGATTTCACTCCTAGAATGGATCACTTCTACAGACTGAACTAACAGACTTTGCTTTATTTAAGTCTCTATGTCCACCAAAAGAAAAGCATCTGTTCCACCTAAAGGCAGCAGAAATGCAGACCCACAGCTGGGTGTGTCATTTTTCCTTGAACTCTCCAGGCTGGTTGCCCATGGCTGGTTAGCACAGGTGAGTCAGCTGGAATGGCATCCACGTTATCGGGGCCCTGCAGGACTTATCTCCATGCACATGGAACTTCTGTCACACAGCTGACATTTCTCCACAAAATCAAACAATTCATCAGAGTTGCTATAAATGTTTTATTATGTCTACAGCCAATCCACTCTGACCAAGCATGTCACTGAAAGGAAGTGAACCYGCAGACTGTCCTCTACAGCTCCCACAACGAGTCTGGAGCTGAAACTGCTCTGCTGTGCTAAAGCACCAGCAAAATGTTGCAGCACTTCTTCAGTGCTGACAAAACTGCAATATTGGACAATAGAYTTAAAATAGTCCAGCATCCATTTARGTAACTTAATGTTAMAACCAATAAAATAAAAACAAATAAATAAAAACGAGGCAGCCCATGTTCTTGCAGTAAATTCCTGGGCATAGTCCAGGGGTGGAGGAGGCCGAGGCCACTCCCAGCTGATGGCCTTGAGAAGGTCCTCGTSCTCCAGCCTGGCTGGAGCCTTGCTCTCCTCTCACTGCCATGACTGCAGCTTTGGGGCTCTCTCTGGCAGTTTCCAGTGACTAATACAACCAGTCAAGGCGTTTAATGGAAAAAAGTGTACTGAACCAAAACCAGGAGCAAACCCCACCTCTGCTGTGAACCTATCCTGATCCTAGCAAATATTCTTGCAAATATTCTTGCAAATATTCTTGCAAATATCCTTGCAAATATTCTAGCTTTTGGGGAGGGATAGAAGTATATGTTAAAATGTTAAGACCAAAGAAATTGTCAGTGAACAATTTAGGGGTTAGAATAAAAAGAACGCTAAGAAAATTCAGTCTTTCCACATGGATGCCATTGCTCCATGCTTCCCCTTGCATATATYTGGGATACTTTTGCTTAATAGGTTAGAGGATCCTGGAAGGAAAATAACTGCTGGAGGTTCAGCTTGAACTAAAGCAACAGAGCCATAAAATAAAGCAAATGTCTGACCTAACCCTGCTCCTCACTTTAATTCAGATCGCTGACTTCTTTTTTCATTTGCTCACTAAAAAAAAAATATCACCAAGGTAACATGGAAACTAATTTTAATAAATACTGAGAAAACAGAGTGGAATGTTTGCTTTTAACTAGACTGCCACAAAATCCTGCAGAGATCTAGGCAGTGARATATAGAGCCAAGGGATGTAATAACAGCAGGATCTCTTCTGYACTCCTCTTACATTCTAAAGATGCAAGCTCTGCTCTACTAAAATGAATAATTCTTACTTAGACTGAATAATTTCAATGGACAAAATTGTCCATGGAGTCTCTGTGATGACATACCAAATGTCATGGCCAGTGTACTTTGGTTTCACATTTCATTAAGGTTTTTATGGTAAGTTACACCCAAAGAAGTTCAAGGTCCAAAGACAATCCACAGCATCCTTCCAGAAAAAAAAAATCCTGCCCTGGACACTGATTGCTTTGGTTTAGCTGTGTTTCCAGAAAAGCCARGTACAACAGTTTAACTCTCTGCCTTGAGCCAATACCAGTTAGACTGATCCGTTGCACAGTAACTTTAAAAACTTGGCAGTACCAATTCCCTAATATTCTGGGCTGGGTGCTCTCAGCAACCTGAAGGTGCCTCCAACACACAGTTCAATGCCTCCAAAGCTCAGTGTCTCACCAATTTCCTTGCCTGAGGTGGGAGATCAGTACATAGAGCAGCTGCTGTCACCAACACAAGCCATGTGTGTTCTTTGTTCTCCCTGACAACATCAGTAACATAGTAAAGTGCTGTCAGTACAATGCCCCAGGAGCTGCACCTCCACACTGTCCCAACACACACCTGCCACCTGCTCTCCTGCAGCACTAACAACCCCTCAGCAGTCAGGTTCTTCCCTTGCTTCCAAATTCTCCATGCACTTTCTGTATCAAGCGTACAGCAGTCAGCCCAGGAGCCTCCCCTCGACCAGCTGTAGGATTGTTTGGTTTCTTCATGCCATGCAAAGGCAGCTGGTTTCCTGTTAATGACCACAGCCCTTGGGCTGGGAACAGACCCCCCAGCATGGCACTTGTTAGCTGGTGGTTTCTGGAATATTGATGAGGTGAGAGGGAAACTTGTTTTGCTTCAACTTCAGCCACACAGGAGGACTGGAGGATCATTCTTCTGGAAGCTGGAGCTCAGCATTTCCCCGCCACTCTATGGACCACCTCAGCATCTCACATGTGAAACATAGTGGGCTTGAAGGTTACCAATATTCTCATTCCTCTTACTTCACTTAAGGACAAAGAAATACTCTTCCCATTTAATCTCAAGTCCACTGAAAGCTCAAATTCTACTTGCAAGGGTCTTTTAATACCAGACGAATGCATAGTCAATCCAAGCTGATGGCAACAGCCTCCACTCTCCACTGGCAGTGCAGATATTGGTCTGTGCTTACTGTGAGATGAATTCATATGGTAGTACAGCTGCCTCCTTTCTAATAATTTATATAYGTTCTAGACTGTCCCAAAGCCCAAATTATTGTTTACTCAACAGAAATACAAATATAAATATTTTAAATCTCTTGTCACATACACACAACTCTCATTTCAAATTCATGCACTGCACAGGGGGCTGAGAACCTATTCATTTGCTCCAAAAGGCTACAGTAGGGATTGGCTGCAGGTATATGGTTATAAATGATTMAACAGTGCTTTATCTGTTTTTCAAAATAACAAAGCAAGCAATCTACCCAGGGAGTGTTCCTCAAAGACAGATGAACAGATGAGAATCCCTTCAAATTATGGGGAGGGGGGGCAATATCCTGTGTGCTCTTTGTGCTGATACCAATGACATTCTGCGTCAACATAGGTGGGGTTTCAGCCACTGTGCTTCCTCTTGAACCTGATATAAAGGTGCACAGTTCACATTCAGTTCCTCACTGCCCTGTCTCTATCTGTGCTGGCTTCCCTGCTACATCCAGAAGACAAAGAGCACAATGGCATTCTCCACCCGCAGCATCCATGTCCAGTCCTCTGCACCCAGTGTCAGCAATGTGACCACCAGGAGAATGTCTGTCCAGAAGATCCAGGCACCCAGTGTCTATGGAGGAGCTGGGGGGTATGGCACCCGCATATCAACCAGCACCAGCTCTGGCCAAGGCCTTGGAGGGAGCCTCCAACTCAGCATCACTGGCAGTGATGTGTTGCTCGCTGGCAATGAAAAATCAACTATGCAAAACCTGAACGATCGTYTGGCTTCGTACCTGGAGAGGGTGCGCTCGCTGGAGAAGTCAAACTCCCATATTGAGATGCAAATCAAGGAGTGGTATGAAAAGAACACCAKAAGCGTAGGGCAGGACTACAGCTCCTACTTCAAAACAATTGAAGAACTCCGCAGCAAGGTAAGAGATCATAGAGCACTCRAGAAATATAGGAATTGCAATTATCAGTGAGAGAGAGAATAATTTGTTGTAGAAAATGTGCTTTTCCAAATTGTAATTGGCCCAGCTGAGAAAAAAAAATGCTCAATTTTGATCAGCTACAAATTAGTGACAGATTTTACTTCATTTGTAATTCCAGATATATGCCTGCAGATGTAAGTAATCTCACACCGGAAAAACCTTTGATTCAAAATTAACTAGTCCTATGATATTTGCCTTAGGTGGCTTTAATTAGGGAAAGTWCTAATGGTAATCTACATATTTAAATATAGCTTAGCAACAGTCTATTTCAAAGTGAGTTTTAAGAAAAGAAGGGCAAACACTTAGAAAAAAAATTAAGGATCACTACTTAAAACAGTAAATTACCACTGGAAACAATGAAATAGTCCCAGCAATAAACTGACAGGTTTGTCAAATAAATAGTCCCAGCAATAAACTGACAGGTTTGTCAAATCATGTTTCCAGAACTTCCTTCAGTCTTTCCCCTGTTATTTTTTATCAGTTCTACTTCACAGCTTTTAAAAGCTCTGAAGAGAGCAGTTCATCCTAACTATTCAATACACTTACGTTATGGCAGGACATTTTGCCTTTTGGACATCCCTAATTCTTTTCATGTACTTCAGATGGAATTGAGCTTTAAAGCCAGCTGACTAACATACAGCTGAAGTGAAGTGGGATGAAGCCCACTTACAGTATGCATTCCCAGGAAAGGATCAATGTGAATTTCTGTGCGAAGTTTCATCACTTGTCCACCATTTCCTTTAGATTGCTGCTGCCCAGATGGACAATGCCAGGCTCGTCCTGCAGATCGACAATGCCAAACTGGCTTCTGATGACTTTAGACTGAAGTAAGTTCCATGATTTTATATAAATTCTCTTTCATGGTCCTCTTATTTAGGAAAGCTTCCAGGTACTGGAATCAGTGCTGGGAAGTGAACATTTTCCAACTTTAAGTTTAGTGAAAATTTTACAATGACTGTGGTAGTTACTGATTCTAACATTCACACCAAACTGCTGCATTCCAGCAATGACAAAAAGCACCTTATTGCACAGGTTTGAGAATGAACACCTGCTCAGGCAAAGTGTGGAGAGTGACATCACTGGACTGCTCCGTGTCCGTGACGACCTGACTCTGACGAAAGCTGACCTGGAGTCCCAGATTGAGAGTATAACCGAGGAACTTGTTTTCCTTAGGAAGAATCATGAGGAGGTGAGAACAGCTGAGCACTGCCGGGGAGAGGGGTTTTGAGTGGCAAACAGAAACACTCTCACTAGGAAGCATTTCTATCTCTCCTGGAAGTAGCATAACCAGGTGTGGCACTAAGGGACACCCAGGTTGTCAGGGATCAAAAGCTGAATACTCCTCCATTCCAGGAATAAAGGAGTGAAGGTTTTCTCTAAGAATAATTTATGGTTTAGGAACTGCTACCCCAAAAAGTACACAAATGGGAGCTATGACTTCTACTCCCAATTCCATAAGTCCAGCGCTTAGGAAACAATTTTTATGATACATTTATCTATGATATAACATTTATTGCTATAAAGTAAGCAAGCTGTTCTAAGATGAGGTGCCCTGAACAGTATTTACAAGGTGATTAAGCTGTCTTGCCCTGAGGTACTATTGACAGATKAGTCCTGTTGAGTTTGTGTCCAACACCCAGGAGTGACAGCTCGCTGCAGCTGGTGCTAACACATTCCCCATTGCTGCAGGACTGTGGCAGGCTGCGCAAAGAGGTGTCTGGCTCTGTGAACGTGGCTCTGGATGCTGCTCCCGGCGTCGATCTCGCTGCTATTATGGAAAACATGAGGAAGCAATATGAAGAAATGGCAGAAAAGAGCCGCCAAGAAGCCAAAGAACGTTTTGAAAAGCAGGTAAAGTCAACTGCTTAAACATCAGCAAGAACCTTGGTCATGCCTGGCTGTAGTTCACAGTCTCTCCATTGCTCATTCCAGATAGTAGAACTGAAYGAGGAAGTTACCATCAGTATTGGAAAGTTGGAGGTCCAAAGGAAAGARATCACAGAACGGAGACAGGTCTTCCAGAGCCTGGAGCTGGAATTACAGTCCCTGCTGAGCATGGTAAATAACAAAAAGCAAAATAAGGACTGTGGATAGCAGAGTTACACAGATAAATAGAGGAATGAGGGGCTCGACAATCAAAATGTTATTTTAACAGCAAAATGTATCCTCTAAATAAKATGTCTCTGTTCTCCCCATGGACTATAGAAACAGACCCTGGAAGGTTCTGTGGCTGAAACAGAAGCACGGTACAGTTTCCAGCTTGCCCAGATACAGGGAGCCATTTCCAGTCTGGAGGCTCAGCTAAGGCAGCTCCGAGCTGACATGGAGGCTCAGAACAATGAGTACAGCAGCCTGCTGGATATCAAGACTCGCTTGGAGATGGAGATTGCCACGTACCGCCGGCTGCTGGAGGGAGAGGAACTGTGAGCACACACATGGCTTTGCTTGTTGTTTTGGTTTTTGTGTCAGATCTGCCACTTTCCAACTGCTTTGGGGTGGGGGAAGTCCATTGCCCAGTTCTCAGCCACAGAATCAGAGCAGACTGCAGTTCAGGCTGGGCTGCTGAAGCTGCTGTGGAATTTTGAGGTTGGCTCTCCCAGCCTACAGACTGTCACTCTTTGAGCTGGGGAATTGGGTAGGTCTCACATGCCAGGAACACCACTAATGAAGTTTCGTATTAACTTGTCCATGTGGGTTAAGCAGAGAGTGGAACTTGCCCCCAGATTCTGCCAGTTCAACTGTCCTGGTTCAGGAACTGGTGTACCTGCATGAGCTGAAGTCCTGGCATTGTAGAGATGAGTCTGCAGGTTAACTGCAGATGTAGAGATGAGTCTGCAGGTTACCTCCAGCTTACGCTTAGCAAGTTTCACTTTAACTGAGAGAATTCATTTTACTGAGTTATCTCCTGGTTAAATATCTTGATGAAAGGGGATTAACTGTCTTTATCAAACACATAGGAAATGCACAAGGATGTTTCTTCAATGCATGAGTTGCCATATGTTTATGTTTTCTAATTTCTAATTTGAACAGGACGGTAGAAGCAACACCAATGGCAGACGATGAAAAAGGTATGTCCCACCAATTTCTTTCTGTTTTGATGGCTGCCTGTTGAAATGTTATGGAATGAAGTAGCCTGATATAAAACAACATCTTCAGAGCAAATAATCAGCCAGAGGAATCTCACATCAAGAATGCAATCAACTGTATGGTTACCCTATAGGGACTATACAAACCTGGGTTTATATATACAATTCAGGTGCCCAGTGTAAAATCACAGACTCACCCRTTCTGTGATTCTGTGACTCCTCAAAAGGCCAAGTGAACAAGAGAGAGTTACTGAATTCCCCTCTAGAGAACCACAGAAGTACCTGCCTCTCCCCGCTGGCTGCACAGGGAGACTGAAGSTCCCAAGTAACATACCCAGTTTCATAGCAAAAATTTCCAACTTGGTGTAAGTCTGTTCCAAGGTTTTAGGTCTACAAATCTGTGCTACAGATGTGTACAACTAYACCATATACATACACCATATCCAAAGGAGGATAAGCCACATCCTGCCAACCACAAAAGTTTACCTCAAGTACCTGTGGATTGAAGATGCTTTTTGCTATTTCCTCATCGACTGCTAATACTGCAGCAATATTACTCTGTCAATGTACATTGCATTTAATTAATTCTCTTTTCAATTTCCGTAACAGAATCAAGTAAATATAAGAAGATCAAGACAATAGTTGAAGAGGTGGTTGATGGCAAGATTGTCTCCTCTGAGGTCAGAGAGATCGAAGAGAAGATGTAAATGGCACCAGCACAGGAGACGCCTGTGAGTTTCCTGGAGCTGATGCTAAAGCTAAAAGATTTATAAATAATATGATCTAATTCATCCTAAACCCCAGAAGGTTTGAAAAATGCCMAATTATCAAATCTTAAACAACTTTTGTTGTTGTTTTTGTGGGGGTGCATTAATAAAAATCTGTGAGTTACAACATAAAAAGACTTTGTGTTTACTAACATAGTGACTAAGTATCTTGATAAAAAAAAAATCAAGTCAGCCTGGTATAAATGTACTGTTGCTTCCAACAYAGATAAAAATGAAAGTATTAGGTTTTTAAAATGCATTGAGACATCAATACAGCACACCTTTTCTCAGTGTGAATTCCCACTCAAACATAAAGCARCTTCACTTCATTAAAACCTGATTCTCCAATAAGTAAGAAGTGTTAATTTGCTTTTCATAATAAATTARCATGAAAAAAATAAATTGAAGAAGCCTATTTAATACTTTCTACACTCTGTGAATGATTATGTCACCAGGGACTACAGCAAGCTATTTTATCAGCAAGAATATATTTGAAATAATCTCTCTCAAATCTTTCTGTGCCAATAATGTTCCCTGTCCCATAGGGAGGCCCCTGTGCCACACCTGGATCCTCAGTCCCAGGAGTTTACATTTTCTCTTGAGAACTTAAACACACAAAACTCTTCCCTATGAAACCTCACCTGTCCAGAACTATTTACGGTACATAAACAGCTGCCAAAGAACTAATCCTCTGCTTTCACTGCCCCGAGTCATTGAGACCAGGCTATCAGCTCATTTCCACAGAAATGCTTTACTTACACCTTTGATCTTCCGCTCCTTTCTGCCCCAAAAGCACCCCATGCTCCTGGGTGYGGATAAATCAAAAATTAATACATTTCAGTTGACAAATCCAATGATATAATTAARCCAGGACAAAGGAAAAATAATTTTCCATTTATTGAAATAACTTCAAAAGAAAAATATACTGGTTTGGGAACGTTCCCATGCCCAAACCTGCACCCAGAAGTGCTACATTTGATCTTCAGATTTGTATTATAAAAAGTACCTAATACAGAAATCAGATTCCTTATTTTGAGATAACAGCAAACATTTAGTAGACACAATGGTCAGTTCTTAGCTCCAAAGTACAAAGTGTTATATGCTATAGACTACATGCATATCACTGTGAGGTATTGAAATGATGAAAGTGTTAGGACATAAACACAATTCCAAAKTCTATTGGGTAGATTTATATTTTCATATTAATGATCACCCTGCAGCTCACTGAACATCCATTTGCCTTGAACACCTGATGGTCACTTTTCCTATCAAGCATCCAGGAGCACTAATCCAGCAGAGACTCCCGCCAGAAAAGCACTATGAAAAGAAAGACATTCCTGCCACACACACTGGGAAGCGGGGATCAAAGGGATCACTCTGCTGACATAGCAAACTCCTGTAATAACAGCCCCAAACCCAGGAARCACTGAATCTGCAATGACAAAACAATTATTTAGGAGGGATTTACATGCGAAAAGAACCTTTTGTGCTCCATTGCACATGGCAGAACACAATCGTCATGTCTCAGCACCACTCCACCCATTTCCCCTCATACAAATACCTGGAGGGCACCAGATTTCCACTCCCATTGGCAATTTCGGTTGGCACATATCATTTCGGTTGGTCAGAATACACGAAACCGACATCCCCTCCAAACAGGAGGGAGAGAGTGAGTGAAAGCTCTCCCCGGGAGGTGGGGACTCCTCCTGAAACACCCACTGCTGTTCCTCTATAAAGCTGACCCTACTCCTATTSTGCCCTACTCTCTGTTGTATCCTCCACGGAGCAGATCCGGGCACCTCGAGCACCATGGCCCTTTCCGTGCGCACAAGTGGCGGGTCCCGGCAGTTCTCCTCTCGGAGCGGACTTGGCGGGGGATCTCTGAGGATGTCCGGTTCTAGTGGTGGAGGAGGCTTTGGTGGCAGTGGGCTTGGGTTTGGTGGGGGGTCTGGCGGAGGGTTTGGTGCTGTTTCTCTGTTGGGTTCAGGTTCTGGCTTTGGTGGGGGCTTCGGGGGAGGCTCAGGCGCAGGATTTGGGAGTAGCTTAAGCAGCTTTGGTGGAAGCTTTGGAGGTGGTTTGGGTGGTAGCTATGGAAGTGGCTTAGGCAGTGGTTTTGGGGGAGGTTTGGGAAGTGGTTTTGGTAGCAGTTCAGGTGCTGCTTTTGGAGGTGGCTTTGGTGGTGGCTCAGGGGCTGGTTTTGGAGGTGGSTTTGGCCCTGCTGGTGCTGGGGATGGTGGCATCCTTTCTGGCTCAAAAAAAGAGACAATGCAGAACCTCAATGACCGTCTGGCTGCRTATCTGGACAAAGTGAGATCTCTGGAGGATGCCAACACTGAGCTGGAGCGCAAAATCCGTGAGTGGTATGAGAAAAGTGGCCCTGGCACTGGCACCCCTGGATCTGGGAACGACTACAGTAAATTCTACCCCTTCATTGAAGATCTCCGAAACAAGGTAGTAAAGCAATGTAGTGATGTATTTAACGTATCTTTATGTTTGCAATTCTCTTAATAGAATGAATGAAAGTAACAAAGTTCTTTCGGAAACCAAGAGCACATTTATCCTTTGGTTCCGAAGCTTGCAGCGACCTCTGTCACCTTGCACTGGTGACATGTGCTGAGTTTTTCCTGTACATTAAAGCAGTTTTGTAGCTGTGTCACGCAGTGATTTGTCTAATCTGAATAAAGGAGAAGGCAGTGATGGAATGCAGGTCTACAAACCCTTGTAGAACAGGAAGTTTAAAACCATTACAAAGCCATGAAGTCTTTGGGCTGTAACATCATTCTCTGAACACTGTTTGTATTCTAGATCATCAATGCAACCATCGACAATGCAAGGATCCTTCTACAGGTCGATAAYGCCAGACTGGCTGCTGATGACTTCAGACTGAAGTAAGGATATCTTAATGCTAGAAAAGCTCTTACTAATATCTTAGGGAAAAAAATCTTTTGTATTAGAAATCTCTTTCCTTGTAGAATACTTATAATACAATTATTAAACTATATTATAATAGTTATGGGTATTAAGTTTTCATATTAAAGCTACAATAAAACACATTAATTGTTTGCATTTGACCTCACTGGCCACATTAAAAATAATATTTAATCCCTTTATGCAAAGATATGAGAATGAAGTGGCTCTTCGGCAAAGTGTGGAGGCCGACATCAATGGTCTGCGCAGAGTCCTGGATGAGCTGACCCTGACCAGAGCAGATCTGGAGCTGCAGATTGAAAGCCTGAATGAAGAACTGGCTTATCTCAAGAAGAATCACGAAGAGGTTATTTTTTTCCTTTGTGAATTCATAGCAAGACACATGAAATTGTAAAACATCAAATTGCTCCCTTACTTAAGCCACTGGAAGTTCCTGGATTTCACTACTGGTTCTGTTTGATATTATTTTTTTATTATTTATTATAGTTTCTATATTTTTGTTTATTATTATTTTTGCTAAGTGAAAGAGTGCAAGTGAAAGAGTGCCAGAAATATATACACATGCTACAGATCCTTGTTAAAATAGAATTTATATCATGTATATTTCTTTACATAGATTTTGGTAGAACTATTTTACCTTTATTAACAGAACCTTCTCTTAATTTTCAATCTCTCCAGGAGCTTCAAGGCATCCAAAGCAGTGAACTTGGCCAAGTCAGCGTGGAAATGGACGCTGCTCCAGGGACTGACCTGACSAAGCTTCTGAATGACATGAGGGGACAGTATGAAGTCATTGCTGAGCAAAACCGTAAAGAGGCCGAGGCGTGGTTCAATGAAAAAGTAACAACCAGAGAGAGCACATTCAGCAAAATGCTTGGGAAAACAAGTTCTCTAGCTGGAACAGTAAAATAACACCCCAGTCTTCTTTGTCATTTCAGAGCGGGGAGCTGAAAAAGGAAATCTCCACCAATACTGAGCAGCTCCAGTCAGGAAAGAGTGAGATCACRGACTTAAAACGGACTCTCCAGAGCTTGGAAATAGAGCTGCAGTCTCAGCTTGCCATGGTATGTTCTAGGGAAGTTACTGATTGCTCAGAGCCAATTCAGCAACTTCAAAAGTCTTTTTAGACCTTATCCTATTCCATAGGATTGAGGATTTGCATTTATTTCCAATTAAATCCTATATTCTTGTCATTTCCTATATAGCAGTAATATAGCTAACTGGATTGCAAAGAGCATGTCACAAAGCAAATGAGTTTTTACATCACATTTAGGGAAGCGAAAAGGGACAGTTTTCAAATTGGTGTTTTCAAAAAGAAAATGAAACCTAAGTAATGCAGCTGTACTTACTCCCTTAAACTACTTCAGTTGGCTTTATTTTTGTAAAGAGTTTTTTTTTTTTTTTTACTTAACCAGAGATTATTTATATCTTTACACAGAAAAAATCCCTGGAAGACACTTTAGCAGAAACAGAAGGTGGTTACTGCGCTCAGCTGTCACAAATCCAAATGCAGATCGGGAACCTGGAGTCYCAGCTTTTCCAGGTCAGGGCTGACATGGAGCGCCAGAACGCAGAGTACCAACAGCTCCTAGACATCAAGACTCGTCTGGAAATGGAGATTGAAACCTACCGGCGCCTGCTGGATGGCGAGTTTGTGTAAGRAACTGATTGACATGAAATATCTACTTGGGTTTATTTTCTGAAGCAAAATCCTTTCCAGGAAAAAAAGAGATAAAATAAGTGGAACATTCTCCAATGACAGTAAGGCACATAGAGTGATCTGAAATATCACTGTGACTGAGAAGAGTGAGCCATTCTGCTCAGAATTTAAATAATCTATTAATGTCACCATGAAAAGGGAATTTATTCTGATCCTACTGAACATTCTGCAATATTGCATTGTCTCTGATTCCCTTTTAGGGGTGCTGGACAGGGAGTTACATTTGAAAGCTCATCCCTGACAGGGTCCAAATCTCAAACACAATCACTGGATTCTTCTCAGGGTAGGTAGAACTTGATTGAATAAAATTTTGTTTCTAAAGTCATTCTTCTAAATCAAATAATACATGTTATCCTGTTTAACTACATCATAGAGCTCATTATAATCAGAAGCCAGTTTGAAAGGAAAAGGGGATACTTGGTCATGTACGTGCAACTTGAGTTTATCATCTTTAACATGTTGATAAGTATTTTTTGTTTTGTTCACAATGTTTAGATCCAACCAAAACAAGAAAGATCAAGACAATTGTCGAAGAAGTGGTAGATGGAAAAGTTGTTGCATCCCACGTTAAGGAAGTTGAAGAGAAGATATGAGGCACAATCTGATGTGGCAAAGGATCCATCTGCTCCAAGGCAAAAGGGATAAATAATTTTATTCTTTTGTATCAAATGATAATACGTTTGGCTTTGTACTAAGAATCTTTTAGATAAGACGAAGTCAGCACTTGCATTCCTTGCAGTCATGCAGTATATTTCCTGCTTCACTGTCAGCACTACCTGTATGATTTCCACGGTGTTCTTTAAAAATATCATCAAATCTCTGTTCAATAACCAGAAATATGAAGCACACATTTAATCAGATTTGCCTTTTTATAATCTTTAGTAATCAATAGATAAAATAATCTTGCTGTTCTAACCTTGTTTCCCAGTTTTCATCACTAATAAAAAGGACTCAACAAGCTTTAAGGTATTAGTGTCCCTTCATTCTCCATGAGCCACTCCATCTGTGTGGTGACCCAGCAATAAAATATGAACATTGAAAGCAGCTAGRATTCAAAATTCCATAAATTCTAGGAAACACACAATTGCTAATACCTGCCTACCTTTTGTCATCAAGGATCTTATAGCCAGGTGTTCCCTTCATACCTGAAAAAAAAGATGGAAAAAGAAAGCATTAGTTTATACCATCCAAATACAAGACTTTGTGCTTGTTTGATGGATTCCTAATGGTTTTCTTATGTAACTGTTCTCATCCCATCAATGACAAACACTGCCAATATTTTGGGTTTAGAACTACATAGAAAGGATAATTGAGACACTTGTAGAAAAGAGTGTGGACAACAAAACCTTCCCATCTCAGTCCAGGTCAACTGGAAGACTGTCAGCTAAGGAAAATAAAATCCAAACACAGGATCCTTTCATATGTGCCAGCAGACACAGCCAAGAACAGGGAAGCCTTTTCACACCAGGGGACTTTTAAGTGGTACAATACTTTGACTTCTAAAAAGATGCATGTCTTGTAAAAGTTCACTGCCTCTTTTATAATTTCCTTGAGGTATATTCTTAAATACAGCTTAAAATGCATTCTCTCTTTGGTAAACTTTTAAATTTTACTGATATCTGCATTTTTTTTACTGCATATCTGACATTGTGCACTACCATTAAAAAAAAATAAGCAAGAGGTAAAATAAAATAGGTAAGAGCCATTCTTAGCAGACAAGATCATTGGGATCACACCGTGCTCCAGTGAGCCAGGAAATGAAGAATCACTTGCTGATAGCACAGCAAAGCAGACAACCTGTGCTGGACCTGCCTGGGAGCCTTCAGGAGAGGGGTAAGAACCCCACAAAGACTGTGTGTTGTGTATACTGAGCACGCCAACACTCAGCACAAGTACTGAAACACCAACAGTACAACCCAGGGACAACCCAGACCCTTTTTCTGACAGCAGTAATGTGTCTGAAGTGTACATTCACCAGAACTTTGCCCTTTGCAGAAGAGGAGCCAAAGCMCTTACCACAAGTTGTACCAACACACTCACCAGCAGTAATGCTGGTTCCTCTCCCTCCGTGTGTCTTCCTGCCCATAAACCCACCACAGTGTTGGGTGAGAGGATGCCCAGGAGCCCAGCTCGTTTCCGAAACAGGACAATCCTCAACACTGAGTCAGCTCAGACACCCAAGGCTTCATCTCACTGAGTCTCAAACACCTTCAGGGATGGAAATTCTGTGGCATCCCTAACAATGGTGGAGGTACCAGTAGCACTACCAGCAATCCAGGTGTGCTTCTGGGTGGCTCTGCCCTTCCTGTCCTCCAGTCARCGCACTTCATGCTGGGCAGCTAAAACTTTATCTTTTGCTTTTTCTCTCTTATCCGCACATTTTTTAGGTTATAATAACCCACAGTTACAGGGTAACAAAAACATTAAGACATTGATAAATTAATTTCGGCACATAATTTAGGAATAGTTACTTCAGTGCTATCCTCTGCTGTATTAACCTGCTGCCAGGACGGGCTGACAGGCTAAGAGGCCCCCGCGCTCCCCGAAATGGGCCGCTGCCGCTTTAACGGCCCCGCGGCCGCAGCCCCGCGCCGCCGGCAGCGGAGCCGGGAGCCGGGGAGGATGGGAGGAGGAGGAGGAGGAGGATGGAGCCGGCTCGGCTCCGCCGAGAGATCAGGGCAAAGTATGAATCGCTCATCACCCGAAATCAGATAAAGACCGTCAGCTCAGCAAGGACGCAGGTAATGCCTCCTCACAGCCACACACCTTGCAGAGTACGGAGCCATTCCCTGGCCGTACAGTTCCTCCCGCAGCCTCTATGAGGTACAGTAATTCCTTTCAATGCAGCAAATTTTCGGGGAAGGGATGTAGATTTTACCGCAGTAAGATGTGAACTAGAATAATCGGCAATAGATTTTGTTAAGTGTATGGATTCACGCTGAATCAATGCTGTGTAATTCATCAGGATGCTTTTCTGTCCCTGCAGCCGGGCTATTGCTGGGATTGAAGGGATGATGACATAGGCTTTAACACGGTAACCTCTGGCTCCATGTAGTTATCTGAGAGCAAAAAARAATCCTGAAGAGAATCCTTTTATATACAGCAATCTTTGCCATTTTTAGCCCTCYAGTAAAGAAAACTGTACCTTTGCAAGAACTATTTTCTATTGCTCCCAGTAAAAACTATGTTCTGCTCTTCAGCAAATATCAGTTGTTCTCTCATACAGCTTGATTAAATGTTACCAACACACAATGCTGCTGTTAGGGGTTTACATACAAAGAGCTCTAAACCCAACTAATATCAAATGGCAAAACAATTYTGAGCCACCAAATGCAAAGAAATTCAGGGGGGAATCAGGTATTCTGTCACCTTGCACTCAGGTATTGCAGGGATCCCGGAGGTTTGTTTTAAGGACAGGCCAGACGCTGCTGCAGCCTGGCTGATCYACCAGCAGTGCCAGACACACGGCAGCTGCACACCCGACAGGGAAGCCAAGTTTATCTTGGTGCTGGCACAAAGCAGCCAATGCACATTGGTTTGATCCTGTCAAATTCTGCAGTACCCAGGCAAAAAAAAGGGGAAGCAAAGAACATTGGGGGTTCACTTGTAGATGAGCTAGATCTAGATTTCTCACAAAAAAGATGGCCTGGTAAAGTCGCAATTTGTCAGTACATACCAGCGAACAAAACCCTTATGTTCCTTAGTTCATAAGATCTAAATTTAAAATAATCTTTTCTCAGAGTTGATGTCATCATAAGAATCTGCATAAAGCACTAAAATATGCAAAAAAGCAGGTGCTGTTTCAAGGGCTTACAGGATCTTCACTACTTGCAGAGAAACTCAGAATCAAAAAAAGAAAAATAACTTCTGTAAGCAAAACAATCATTCTGGAAGTTACATGCAGGAACATACTATCAAAATCAAGGATAAGTCTAAATCTAAAATGACCCCACATATGATCAGTTTTTTTAAAACCACTTTCAAAAGGATAAAAGGAAAAAAAAAACCCACCCTGAAATAAAACATACATTAAAATCAAAGCACTTTATTCAAACTTGAAAGCTTGAACCATCTGCACCTCCTCTAAGCCCATTTGCTCTAGAGGTAAGATCTCAGTACAAYTGGATAATTTGTATGAGAATTCCTCTACAACAACGGTGCCAGGGACAGAGATGTAGACAACCACTTCCAGTCAAACACAGTGGGATAAGGGCTTTCCATCTACACAGTACAGAAAATATTAACTCCTCACTGTGAGCTTTCACACATTTATAGAACTCTAACAAAAATTCCAACTAGATATTATGTGCTGATTTATTATAATTGTTTGAATATCTTTAATATTTTTATAATTGTATGTTTCCTGTAGTTAGAAGAAGATACAAGTAAAAGAATGGACAAAGATGCAGAAGCACTAAAGGCAGCCAGAGCAGAACTGTGCGAAGCCCGACGGCAGTGGCACCACATGCAGATTGAAATCGAGTCTCTCCACGCTGTGGTAAGAGTCAGATATGAAACTTGGAATCTCATGGAAAAAAAGAAATATTGTCCTTGATATAAAATATCTCACAGTCAATTTCTATGATAGTCACAGTCACCATACAGCAGAAATCTATCACAGGAACACTCAGCTTTGGGTGGTTCCAGCCCCTCATAGAGCCCTCACTCATACACACTGAGCCAGCACATGTACTGGTGCAGGATTTGCCACTCCATACACACGTCGTGTCCTGTTTCCACACATCCCAAACATATATCTGCATGATATTCCCCCCACCTAGTCATTCTGCCTTAATAATTGACAGCATGTTTATGACTTTTTTAATATGTGGACCAAATTTATCAATTCATTCATGATAAAATGTCAGCAGTTTGCTCAGTTCAGTTCAGAAAAGCACCAAGAGCACACAGACCCTTKGTATAGCATTGAGCTGGACACTGCTTAACTTGTAAAACCAGAGATCTGTAAACTCAAGGCAGTGGACTGCTGGACAAGATGTGACTAAACTTTCTTTTGATCTTAAATTACCACAGATTTTATATGAAAATTTCTCAGCCAAAGGATTACCTTGAAAGCTTTACTCCTGTTCTTAAAGAATAATGCAAAAATAAATAGTTTCTTAATTAAACCATGTATGTGTACAACATCTTTACACACAAACTTCCCAAATCTTAAAACATGAATTAAATTTCATAGGAAAAGGGTTTGGAACGTTCATTRCGTGCCACAGAGCAGCAGTACCACATGCAGCTACAAAATCTGGAAGGTGAGATTGAATGCTTGGAAAAAGAGCTGCTGGAAGTGAGAAGGGGAATTGAGAAACAGCTCCGAGAGCACGAAATTCTCCTGAACACGAGGATGAAGCTGGAGGAGGAGATAGCGACATATCGCAGTCTGTTGGAGCAAGAAGAAAGCAGGTACTTGGCTGCTTAGAGAAAAAGATCTCAAATTTGTCTTCCATTTYGGAAGGTCTCATTTAAATAATCTGGATTGTAAATAAATTAACTAATCATTAAAAAATTAGGGTATAAAATCTTAGAAAAGGTTTCACTGTAAGGTAGCTTCACTGACTGCAGAGTTTCTGGCACTCAGTGTCTCACACACATTGCAGAGAGCAGCACACGATTTCTCACAGCTGCTCACATAACAAATTGGGGATTAAAATAATTCAGTATTATTAAATGCTGTAATCGCTTTATTTTTGCAGGTTCCGTTGCTCAATACCTGCCCAGAAGGATGACAAAAAGCCCAGCACTAGCAAGATAACCTTTACACTGCCTTCAGGTGAGTTTCAGACACYTTCTCCTTATGGGATTTTTGCCTTAACTGTTCACAGCTACTGACAAATTCCTGGATATTAAAAAAGTACCTTTTCCAATGCAGGGAAAATACCTCCAGGTCCTGTACCRCCCCTGCGCTTCTGCCTGCTCAGTGTATGCCTGCATTTTCTTTCACAGATGGTGTAAAGAAGCACAAACCGAAGAAGGTGGAACTGATGACAAAACAAGCAATCCTAGATGGAAATATCTTGAAGGAAAGTGCTGAAGCTCATGGCACTGTACAGTAAGATAAACAGGAATTTCACAAAATAACGATTGGAAGTAAAGGGTGGAGGTTATGTTTCAGTAGCTTTGAATTTTCCGCTATTTGGTRTTTATTATATTGTGCCCACACAGCCCAGGAGCTTCAGAACCACAGTGAGAGCTCCTGAAGGTGCACTGAATGGCAGKGTTTAACAATACATTACATTTAAAAGTTCTTTTTATTAGCATTGGCTTCATAAGCAAACAATACCATGATGGTGCTTCTGATTTGTAATTTCTATTTCTGTTAAGAATGAAACTATGAATAATTCATCTCGCTAAGGCTGAAGGCAAAGAGCCCAGACCACATTTGGGAAGTCCCTCTGGGGCATATTTATACACATAAATTTCAGGCTCAGCTGCTCCAACTTGCTCCTTGGAAACTCCTACGTTTCCCCAAACAGGGGAGAGAGAGCCTGGCTCCCAAGTGGGCATGTGAAAGTCTGTTAGGATGYGTTATTCACCTGAAATTACTTTAATAGTATTGGATTGCCTCATTTTATTTTTTTCTCTGCCGCTCTTCAAGCTTTTTTATATGTTGTGTATGTTATATTTTGCATGTTGGTTTTTAATGTTACCTTTAAACACACTGTAGTGGGCCAGTCCTAACACTGAACTGTAATCAGCTRCTGAAAAAATTAATGCCATCATAAGGCCCACCAGACACACCCCACAGGTGACATTTATTTTTGTGCGTGAGCTTTGTTCATCACACAGTCACTCAGGTCTGCACAGGACTGCTCAGCCAGGTGCAGTTTACTCAGCTCGGTGAGGCCTCTGAGCCCATCTTTCAGATGTGAACTCTGATAAACATACAGAGAATTAAATCAACAAGATTTGGGTGCCTCAATATTGCTGAATCAGCTAGCTTTTCAATTGTCCCTATTTCACTTCTGCCCTTTTTTCTYTTTAATGTAATACAGATCTACATTCTGAGGTTTAGGTCTAAACTAGATTTTCTCCTCCCTATTCTGAAGGTTTTCAAATGCAGGAATTCTGTCCTGCCCACTGCAGTATTGAGGTTTCTTGCAAAATTTTTAAGCTTGGATTCCAAACTTTCTCCTTGGAAACTGCCTAATGTGTTTGGAACAGTGGTTTTGTAGCCATGTCTACCTAAAAGTACAAAAACAAGAACATAATGAACTCTCACCCTTTATTTAGCTTCTCTGGAGAATGAACCTGTAAAAAAAAGGAAACATCTAGGGTCTCGGTACCATATAAAACAACTCGACATTTTATGATGCCATCTCWGTCTCAGTTTTAAAAGCAGTCCTGAAGACAGATAATTAATATTGCCTAAAAAATCATAAATATATTTGCTTTTTTGTTTCAGGACAGAAAAAGTGGATGAAGTTATTAAGGAATGGGAAGGTTCTTTCTTTAAGGACAACCCTCGTTTAAGGAAAAAGTCTGTTTCCTTGCGTTTTGATCTCCACCTGGCAGCCACGGATGAAGGGTGTTTGCACACAAAAAAGAAAGCCCTCCCCGATATTGAAGTCAGGCTGGTGATGAGGAGATCCTGCAGCATCCCATCCATCAAACCTTAACCTCAGCCAATTCCCCTAACGTGCATCTACAACGGGCTCCGGAAATAAACTGTAGAGGGACTCCCATGGCTGCTGTCTGCTACAACCACAACATCTTACCAAGCACTTGGATCAATACAATAAAAGCATACAGGTTGTTCAAAAGAAAGGGTGAAGAGCAAGGAGATTCCAAGAAACCTGAATTCTACTAGTTTTATACCCTGGATGCAAMCCTTTCATTTTCTCATGTTGTTGTTTTCTAGAATTTCACCAATATTAYAAAAATTAAACTAGAACTTTATAGATTGACATATTCTGCCTTTGTAAGAGAGAACTTGTTCTCTTTCTGAAAATGAGAAATGCATATTTGCTTCTCTTAATTATTCAATATTCCATTCATATAATGACTGGTGAATCYTTGCAATAATTTATATCACAACTGTCATACTTCTAGAAATATATTTTAAAATAATACTTTCTAACAGCAAAAATTACATACAAAAATACTCTTAAAATACATGAACTATTAACAAAGAGTTTTCTTTTAAAAGTGGCTAGTATTTTTTAATTCCTTTTTTTTAGGCAATGACTGAGCAAAAATGTCTTTCCTCTACATCCTTACACACCCATTTAAAAAATGCTGTTGCAATCCAGTATCATTTTAGCCATATTGTTCCCCTGATTTGGAAGCAGTAATTTCCCCTGAAAAACCAATCATTCTCTTATTGTCCACACACACCTGTACTACAAATCTGTTAACCAAAGCAAGTGAAATTACTCTCTAATTGTTCAAATGGGAGGAGTCAGAYAACCATTTTAATGCTGGTATTCCATTAATTTTGTTTGTTATAACAAAGTGCATTAAAATTTGTTCAACAAATTCCTCTTCTGACAAACACTACAGGTAAACGATGCTCTTCATGCAGTACAAGTGACAAGTCACTATTACACCAGGGTACAACTGTAACTACTGTTACTACTTCAAATTAACCGGGCAAAATAAGGGCTACAAATTCAAAGTACGATTCAACCCCTTAAGTACCCCCCCCATTCCTACCCAAACTAGCTGTAGGCAAACCAATCCCAGCAGACAACCTGCACCAGTACACAGAGGAACAGCCATCCTTCTTTAAAACCTTATGAGACAAATTTCAAACAAAGACTCAAACATGATTGTACGAAGACGAGAATGATTGTTAGTGAGGATTCTGAAGAGGGCAGATGTCACAGCTCCTGCTGGAACACTGGGGTGGCTGGGGCTCAGAATCTGGAAAACCCACGCACAGGATTTGCTGGATTACAGCAGCATGGAAAGGATCGATTTCAGTGTCAGTATCTGCCTTATTACTTATGGCATGTGTACAAAACTGATGTTACAGATTCTTTCAGAGTTAARTTATGCTTCTGTCCTTTGTTCATGGTAAGAACAATGCATCGATATTGCCCCGTCCTGTCTGTACTGTATCAAACTCGCTAATTATCCATAACCTGAATCATGAGCTGATGTTGTTACCACTTGAGTATTTGGCATCCTGAATGTATCAGCCTGCTCCAATATTTTCACTATGCAGCTTTTTTTTGTGCTTAGACTCTGTACATTTTACAATACTTGAATTTAAACTAAGTTTTAATTGCTTTAAGGCACTTTAAACAGGGATACGAATTTACCAAAGTAAATGATAGTACTACAATTAAAAAAGTATTAAAATGGAGTTTGTCCATGCATATTTTGTGTGTTCACGTTTAATCCTTGAAAGGAGTAAAAGAGAAATGCAAAATAAAAGTTGCAGATAGGAAAATCTGTTTTCTAAGATCTTCTCTGCAATTAGAAAGACACAAATTTCCTCAGAATCTTTACCACAACATGTGAATGTCCTCCTGCTACAAACTTACTCTTTTTTCCTGGTAAATCCAATGATCCTGGTTATTTTCTTCACATGGGACTTCCTGGCACTGACTTCAGTAGCGCCTGCTACTTTAGGTCTGGTTCAAATGGGCATGCTTGTTTTAACCAATTTTTTACGCCTTTCAGTAAGTATCTATTTTTACATTATTCACAAATTCCATCTCTTCAAATGTAAAGAACTCCCTTTTATTCACAAACTAGTGAACTTCCACAAGTGTCAGAGTGAACTCCACGTGGGCATCAAAATAAGATCTCACTCTCATTTTTAGGTCACTTTAAAGATGAATTAAAAAAAAATTAACACTGAAGCTTAATTCTGTGGCAGAGAATTCTTCCATTTCTGTTCTGCTAATTAAATCCAGACCAACTGAGCCTCTGCCAACTCACACCTGCAAACGGCTGATGTAAAAATGAGTTTCATTGTCTCAACCTACTTCCCAGTAAGTGTCTGTCCTCATTCCAGAGCTTGTGAAACTGCTGGTAATTAAAACAGTTGGGTAAGAATAAGTTTTTATATCCCCCCCTGGTGAGCACGGWGCAGTATAAACAATTCCATTAAATCAGTAAAACTACTTATATATTGTACAGGATATTAAAAAGTGTACACAGGCAAAACCATTCACTATCACAAGATGGAACTGAGGCAAAGAGCACAGTAAAAACATAAAGGTAATAAAGTAGGGAATACATTGGTGGTTTTGAAAACATGTAATTATTTAGAACTATTAGTATGGAATGCTTCAGTAAAAATACCTGAACACCATAGTAAATACGTCAATTTTAAAAATAAATACATTTTAAATAACTCAAATTTTAAAATTAAATTTAAAATAATAAATATTTCAAAATTTTAATTTTCAATTTAACATTAAATGCAGTTTACACGAACAAAAAAAACATGTTATTAATCAACTAGAAATGAGTGCATGAAACTAGGGAGAAACCTGGTCAAAAGCAGGGGAAAAAACAGGTGATTTTTCATCTCTCACAAGTATTTTCTCACCTTCTCTTTACCTTTTCCTGCCCCTGTGAAGCTGGTGAATTAGAGTGACATATTTTGCTGGCTGAGTAATCTTTTCAACTCTTGCTTTAATATCAAATTGAAGTCACAGATTATTCTGCTGCATATCAATATATGTCCATTGTGGCACAGACAGCAGAGTCTAAGCAGATGAGGGCARAGCTCTTGTCTCTTTATTTGTTCATAAAAGTAAATTTATTTAAGCTTGAAAAACTGGGCCAGTGGAACTGCAGCCATCAAGAAAAATGGGCCCAACTTACAGCAACCTGTGTTSTGTTAGTTTTTCTTCTTTTTACCTTCTACCATCCTTTTGGGTAGCGGCAGGTACCATCTTCCTTGGCTTTCCTTTAGATACACCCAAATTTTCCCTCATGAATGGAYAGAAATATATCTTATTGGCCATGTGAGTGTTTCAACATCAAACATTCAATTTCAAACCTTCAAGGTCAAACATTCAACATTAAACTTTCAAGCTTCACTGCGTAAGTTTTCATATTTAGTTCAGTCACTTTGATTAATTTTCAGTGTAAAACGCTCTTAAAGCTGAATGCTGAGGTCTGGAACTTTTCATCCTCCTCACCCTCAGATGGTTCACCTTGTTTGGTATTTGCGGGCGTTTTACCTGTGGGTGATACCTCTGCTGATTTCTGCAAGGAATTGTGGATGATTCCACTGCTCTCAGACTACTGGGTAATTTATAATCCTGTGTGATTCAGCAGCTGAGTGTTTTGAGTTGTCAGGCTGATTTAGYTGACAATTAACATATATTCTCCTATTTATTACCCGGGGTCCATGTCGCTGCCTTCCGAGCCGTCCCTAACGCCATCCCCTTCCTCTGGCCTTCTCCCACACACCGGCACCTTCCCGCTGCCCTCAGACCTCGTCGTGTTCCACTCAACCGCCTCTGAAAGCGTTGCCACGCTAAACAGCCATTTCTGCACCACACTGTGCAGAGACCAGGATTCCCCAGCACTGCCGGGAGGTTCACCTGACTCCATCGCTGCCTTTATGGGATTTATTCGGGTTCGGACAGGACCCCGCAGCGTTTTCCTGTCGCCTCACGGCAGCCTGGGGGGCGCGCGCTGCCCGTGAGGGGAAAAAAAAAGGCGCCAAAAGCCCCTCAGGAGCCACGCGCTGCCCGTGAGGGGAAAAAGGCGCCAAAAGCCCCTCAGGGGCCGCGCGCTGCCCGTGAGGGGAAAAAGGCGCCAAAAGCCCCTCAGGGGCCGCGCGCTGCCCGTGAAGGGGAAAGAGCACCCTAAAGCGCAGCGGACACAAATCCTCCTGCGCGCCCCTTCTGCGCCGCTAATTCGCCACCARCAGCCACCACTCGAGACACCGTGACCGGCGTGCCCGGCGCAGCGGAAAGGAATGAGCGCGGTGCTGGGCACTGCGGATCTGGGGCGCCTCGGAAGCGCGGTGATAGCCCGGCACCCGGCGAGGCAGCGCCTCCGCGCTGGTAATGGCGGGCGGGGCCGCCCCTCGCGCGGCGCTCGAGTTGCATCCCGCAGATTCGCCACGGCCCCTGGGGTCGCCGGCGTCCCGGAGGGTGTGGAGACAGCCCTGGCCCCTCTGTGGAGCTCGGAGCAGCCGAAAAGGCTCCCGCATAGTGAGTAGGGGGGTCAGCAGCGGGCTGGGGGCGGCGTGTCGAAAGAGCGGAGCGGAGTGCGCAAGCGCTGCCGCCGCCGCCCCGGCCCGTTGGAACAAAGGGAGCGCGGCCGTGCTGAGCGGGTGAGTGTGGAGGGCCCGGCGGGTCTGACCGAGGSTCTTGGAGCGGTCCCGGTTCCGCGCCGGGAGAGCTGCGAGGCTCGGGAGGGCCCTCGGACCCAGGGAGGGAGCGGTGRGGCCGAGGGGTCCCCCGGTGGGCGCCTTGGGCCTGCTCAGGCTTCGCTCGATCTCCCCGATCAGCCCTGTGTGCGAACCCCGAGCACGTCGTTAGTCGGGATTCTAAAGAAGGTTGCTGCTGTCGTGGCGTTATTTGAAGAGAAAGGCCGAAAAAAAAACCACTTTGTTACAGCGCTTTTTGACTCACTGTTGGGTTCGGTGCTAAAAGGTTARGCATTGCCTGTGAGACCGCAGCTCCCGGGTTCGGTGATGGTTTTATGTTCACTGTAAAGGACATACATCGTTTTTTCGTTTTTGTATTAATACCAGGTTTCTAAGAGGGTAGTGTGAGAGAGAGGGTATGTCCTTTTTATTCTGTAAGGGACAAAATATATTTACTTAGACCTTTTAACGTGAAAATTACCTAAACCTGTGTGCTCTTACACAGCTATYTAAGGCCAGATTCCTTGGAAAGTCCATTAATTTTTCGAAGAGATAACACCTTGGTTTCTGAAAATTCTTTTGTCTGTATTCCAAAATTGAGACTTTGATAATCAGGGGTATGGAAAACAGTTGAAGATCTGGGGGAACAAAGGCACAAYACTTACTAGCATGATTTTCTTTTGTCTTGCAGAAGTACAAATATAATGTCAGGTGGCTGAAAATTTGACTATCAAAATGTCAAGTAAGTTTTTTTTTTCAGATTTTTCTTCCTTTAACGTGGTGATGTAAAGATCTGCTTCAGCAGAATCTGTTTGTGAGATAATTTCATTATTCCTCGCATTAAAAGAAATTATTGGAAATGTAGTGACTAAACTCTTGGCCTTAAATCCTGCTGTGGCTGATTCCTGGCATATTTTTTTCATAGGAAATCCAGATATCACAGATTCTAAATCCTGTTTGACTGCGTTTTTGCTTTCCCTCCCTGTAAATGTTGTGCATATAAATTAATTTCATATTCTCCAGTCATGTGCTTGAATAAAAGGCTGGGACTAGAGCAATGGGGAGGGCTTCAGTTTTTCCTTATTTTCTTTTCTTGTGTTGCCTTTTACTCTTCAGTGGCACAACRCAAAGTCTTTCAGAGTAGAATTTGTCTTGTTTTTGTAAATGGCTTAAAAAATGTTGGCCACAGCAGATTCCTTAAGAATTCTTTCAGACTTCCAAGAAAAAAAAAATGTGCTTACATTTCTATCTTAACAGAAAGGCCATCCTATGCCC